CATTCCGATAAAAAAACAAAACAAAAAGCTGTGTGCTAATATTTTATGATAAACTGAAACTCGCATGCATAACCACGCGGAAAAGAGATCACAACACCATTGAATAATGTTACGAAAACGTTTTACGCGAAAATCTATGTTTTGTTAAAAGTACAAATAGCGAAAATGTACAAACAAATGTAGCCGATTCTTGGCGGCTGGCCTACGAGCTACGAGACTACGGTGCTACGAAGCTACAGCGCTACGTGCCCGTATCCGTGTACATCGTTTACGCTTCCCCAACCAGAATTTATTAGATTCCACCCCATTTATACCTTTTATCACCCTGTATTTAATATAATAACACAATTTTCTTGCATCGCATCGTTAGCATTAAATTATCGGGTGATTACAATGAGCTCCGCATAAAAAGTCATCTACGACGAAGTGCACTGCAATATCTAATGCTCTTTTGCATAATGTGTTTGTAAAGCAAAATACAGCTATATTTTCCTTTACATGTATTAGAAAACTTACTTTTGAATATGAATCTAAACTCACATATTTTAATTACATTTTATCATTAGTTCTAAAAATAATGTTTATTATACATCCTCAACATGCTAAGTGTAAGTGGACCAAAACATTCCAGCAAACCACTCTAACCAAGTCGGAACTTCATACGAAGTTATTTCATGAAACTTTCTGCGCCTGGCCGCCGGGCACATGTTCAATTTATTCATGTAAATATTGAAAAATTCAATGGCTAGAAAAGACAGTGACATTCAAAAGATTACTTCATAAAATTACTTTTCAAAGCTTAAAAGCTTGTAATGGCACGTGTATTGTCTTTATCTATAGCCATACACGGACCTTTAAAATTTCGTCAGTGTTTTGCCGTTTATCTGAACAGAAGGTCCGCGAACGGCAAGTATTACCACTGTAATTGGTTTCTAATGCCGCGTAAAACCCCCAAACGTGTTGCGGGACTGGGCGGCGAGATAAAGTGCACGAAGCCTCTCACACAGATTTTGCTCCAATTTTATGTTGGCCTTTTTTTCTCGACCTACTTCAGATGCCCCGATTGTTGTGGAAAGCTAATTATAGTGAGTTTAAAGTTTACTACGAGCATTAAGATCTACTTAAGAAGATCTAATATTACAGTATGCGCCTTTACTCGATATAAAGCTAGCTTAATACTAGATTTCATTTAATTTTCGTTCAAAATTTTCATTCATATAATAAAGCAAATTAACTATTGTAAACATCAACTTACCTTCTATAGAACGCAACCAAAATGTGTGTTCTTCCACACGAACGCCTCTCTGTTCTCGGCTCGTTGATTAGCTGTATAGAAGCTTGCTGAAAGTAGTAACATCACTATTGCGTCGACAAATAATAGATCTACAAAATGTCTGGATTTTCCTTAGATTTTCATAGCCAGTCAGATATAAGTAATTTGTTTGTTCCATAAACACAAGCCAGCTCGCCGGGAGGGTTAAGAGTATGTAGAATTGAGCGCGCCGGGTTCCCCTCTTATTGTATCAGGATTAGGCTAAATCCTGCGTGGGACACGCTGGGTGCGACGCGACGCCGCGACGCGCGACGAATCTGTGTTTGCATTTTAAGCGGCTCTTCAACTGAAAAGAAAATCTGGACAGACAGCCCTGACAGTTTTATCCTCGAAGTAAGGTCAAATCGTAAAATAACCTTAAACGCTCGGTGACACTGAATTGAAAGTTTATTGAGCGTGAATAAGTAGAGCAAATTAATTATGTAGCTAAATGAGGTGATTTTGCAGTCGAGACGTTTGGTATCTCTGAAACCGTAAAAATGACTTAATTTGGTATGAAATTTACAACAGATGAACTTCTTAAATCAATTTCATAAATGATTAAAATAACATATCCAAGGATGCTTTATAATGTATGATGATACATGAGGCGGGTCTAAATGCCACGTAAAATGCAAGTGCGGCGAACATAACCCTTACACCGCGCAAGAATGGCCACTAGAATTTTTCAGTGTGCAATGCCCTGTCGCGCCCGAATCCTTGGAAATTTATGGCCCTCGCCCGCTGACGGTGGCCAGTTTCACGAATACAGGATAGGGTGGGTGCTTTTGTACATGTCTCCGCAAAAGATGCGCTCTTTAGGGATATAGGTTGCATCGTCGCTTTGGTGCTCCAAGTTACAAGAAAGAAAAACTTAATTTACGCTTACTTAATAATAATATTTTTACTGAAATCACATTGCCTGTACTAGACTAGGCCTATTATTTATTGTTATAGTCAAAATCAAAACTCATAATCGGCCAAAACCACTTTTGACTGCAAAAATCAGTCAAAACTGGTTTTGACTGATGCTCTTGGTCAATATCACTTTCAATATCACAGTCAAAACTGGACTGTAACAATTCTACTTAAATTTCTAAAGGTCGCGGGCATCTGCTTGCTGTAAAATCGAAATCTTATAATTTAAATAGAACTTTGAATACACTTCCATAGTTAACGTAAATAAGTTTGGAGAGCTAGTTACTTAATTGCCGGTTGTTGTTAACGAAGCTGCTGATTCTTTAATCCGAACTGTGCAGACAGTTAATCGTGTGGTTACTGCGCATAGCTGGCATGGTTACCGCTACAAATTGATATGTATGTAGACTGTTAAACTTGCTTATATCGCACAAGCTATTAAAAACTTTATGACCTACTATTTTAGTCTAACAAACAGAATAGTAGTTACGTACCTACACTTAATTTTATTACATCAAAAACAATTTCAACTGGATCGTAAAAGTATTCGTAGGCCATTAATTTTTTTTTATGCCTGTTATAGACATGGTGCATTGATTTAAATGTTAATGGTAGTTTAAAAAATATTAAAGCTATTTTAGTTAGTAGCAGGTCTACCACCTAATAAGTACGATTAGGCAGATGATGATGTAAGTATCTGCTTAATTTAATCGTCCATTAATTTAGATAAAAAGTAGGTACAATAAAACAATGCGTTTTCAATAAAATTGTTCCGATAACGTTTGAAACGTGTAAGAATGGGCTAAGTTGAAAGCATGGATTTAAGTTTTAAGGACGATCTCCCAAGATGCCACGGCATCTGCGTGATTTGCGGCAGACGTGCTGGCGATCGCTGAGGAAATAAAGTTATGATTTATGCAAGCGAGATGTGTTGGGGCGCGATGCTCAAAGCTCGCTTCCAAACAGTGACCGCGACAAATTCCACTTTCACCAACACTAAACCCACCTATTGCTACTTGTTTCGAACACAGAAAGCTTTGTTCGGAAACATTTGCCAATATTTGTGTGAATGCATTTATTGTACTGAACTTACATTTATTGTACTGAACTTACAAGACACGTTTGTATGGACTAATATTAATTTATCATTGAGTTTACAATTGACCTTACCAATGAAAACTGGTTTTAAATAGGTATTCAGATGTAATCTTTACTTTATGAGATGTAACTTGATAGTTTGAGGCGTGCCTACTATAAATATTTTATTTAAATTAATAATAATAATTTTATACTGCGCTGCTAGTCCCAAACTAAGCAAAGCTTGTACTATGGGTACTAGACAACGGATATAAACATACTTAAATGCTTTTTTTTGTAAATACATACATATTATATTAGGGGAGAGTTCGGTATATTGTACCGCCGGGTAAATTGTACCACCCTCATATTTCGTAAAGTATTTATTGAATGTCTGTAATTGCAACACTCAGCGATACACAACTAAATTCAATTAATATCGGCCATTTGGTTTTTGTCGTGACAAGGAACACGTGTGTTTTATTTTGAAAAGTATTTTTTCATTGTTTTCAAGTAACTTTTGACAATGCATATTTAGTTTGTAATTTTGTTAAATTTAATCACAGGGTGTATCTAATATATTATTTAGAAGCGTAAATTAGTGCGGATTACAATTATTTGAAACATTTTTCGGTATTTATAAGCTATATTTTTTACCGATTTTTTAAAAGCACTATCACCTAGTCGGCTAAATTGTACCACATCAAGTTGTATGGAACTTTACCAAAGGATTTTGATATTTTTTTTAGTTAAACATATTTTGAAGTTATAATAGCGTAGTTATGTTTGACTAACAATAAATGAAAGCAAAAGACTGGCAAAGTAGATTAGGTACAAGTGTGCGTTACGATAATTGGAATTACAAAACTTTTACTCAAAATCGTGATAACGTGTAAAACAATATCGATTGTCTATGTTATTAACTACTGTTCCTTTTCGTTACCTAATTTGTTAAGAATGTATAATATTTTGCCATAGTTTTCTTTATAGGCTTGAAATTTATTGAAATCCAATTTAGTAACCCTGTGGTACAAATTATCGAACCGGTTGGCTAAATTGGACCGAAGCTCTGAACTCGTATTTTGTTGATTTGTGCTAAATATACAACAATTATGTTGATTAATACCTATGAAATAGTAAGTTGAATAATTTCTCTTTAATTATATACCATGAACATTAGCAAAAACAAAAAAAAACTATGTGTAAAATGGGATTGAAAAAAACTGGTCCAAATTACCGGACTCTCCCTTATATATTATAAATAATTAATACAGGTATCGGACTAAGCTATTTTATATCTAAAAATGCATCTATTAACTACATAACAGGGCAGAGTTGTTAGGTTGATATTCGGTCGTCTATTCATAAAAAATCTGCACTTTTTGTACAAAAGTTTTGGAATGTAATTCAACGCTTTTGATACCAAATTATTTTTGTATTCATTCAGCTCGTTTACAAAAAATGTTTTGCTGCATTCATGATGAAAACAAAAAACTAAATGTCTGGTATTGGCACATTATTACGGGATATTTCAAATTCCATCTAGTCTCCGACAGGTAGTGGAAAAAATGGGTTGCTCTCTATAGAGCGAATACTAAAAATGCAATCTCGCGTTCTTTTTAACTTTGAATAAAAACGTATAAAAGTTCCGCGGGCCTATTGGCATTGTTTCAAAGAAATATATTTCTTTCAGGATACCATACGCCGACAAGATCACCCCGGAGCCCATCCTGAACAACAATACGGGGCGGGACACAAAGGCCGACTCGATCAGGAACAGTTATAATAGCCAATTCAAAGTTGGCATCTACGGCTGGCGCAAGAAATGCCTTTACGTCCTCGTCATGGCACTCATGTTTATGATGATCATTAATCTCGCGCTCACGCTGTGGGTATTGAAAGTGCTGGATTTTAATTCGGTAATTTTGACTTTTATAATTTAGTTTTGAATGAAATAAGTTGCTTTTTGTATGATTCTTATTTTCCGTTATCGCAAAACAAGTACAGTTGCGACTATCATAACTGTGTTAGGCTGAGTTGCACCACCTTAATTTAACCGTAACAATAATAATAACCGGTGAATTTTGTATGGAAATTGACAGATTTTTGACGTTTGTCAAAGTTAAAGTAAGATGGTGCAACTCAGCCTTAATATTTTTGTATCCAAACATAATTTACCTTATTTAGGATGGAATGGGTCAGCTTCGCATCGTGCCGGGCGGGCTACAGCTCCTAGGTCAAGCTCTGGTGTTGGATTCGCTATTCGCGTCAAGCATCAAGTCTCGGAGAGGACAGCCCATTACCGTGGAGTCCTCGAGGAACTTCAGCGTCTCGACGCGGGATTCCCACGGGCTGCTGCAGAGTAGGCTATTTTTAGGTAAGCCCACCTGCATTTGCGAGCATTTTTAGGAACTACCGAGCTTTTTAGTGGCAATTTAAATATGTGACAATAGAAATGTTTGGATGCATCAATGAGGGATTCAGTTCGATTTATTATGCGCTATCAAATAATTTGTATTATAGCCAACTTGGTAATAAAACCACTATAATTTAATTATAGAGAAATTATGGACCTGTTGCTGCAATTGACACACAATCTCTCAATCAAACTCTAATGCCAACACAAACTGCGGTCGGTAGCATAGCTGCTGGTCAATAATAATTTGTTTTAGTTTTAGTGCTAGTGTAGCTAATACGGTGTCTTTTATTAAAACCTATTTCTAAATAAATAAATAAATAAATAAATCTTTGGACAATTTCACACAGCGCCAGCTAGCCCCAAAGTAAGCAACTTAATGCTTGTGTTATGGGTGCTAGCTTAACGGATATACTACTTATATACTTTTTTTTTTAAATACATAAATATTATACATAGCCACACCCAGACCCGTCACAGAAATTAAAATTCATCATTTCAATTTCTGCCCGGCCGGGAATCGAACCCGGCCGGGCAGAAATTAAATTAAATTAAAGAAATTAGGGCGGTAAATTGCAAGCTATATCCAGTAAACTGCATTGTTTGATATTATTATAGTAAGCCAGAACTACTTTGACTCTAGATAAAAGTTTTTGCCAAAATCATTTCACGAATGTAATGCGACTAGAAACTAGAGCGCTGTAGTAGCGATCAAACGAAAGCAATTTTAGGAAACACGATGTTACAATTGCACTCGACTACACCGGTGCCAAGTTACGTTTGGCATTCAATCGCATATCTCAACCGAACATGATACTGAGACTAGCGATGTCACTTTCGCAGTGGTCCCACAATCGGCTGGAAATGAACGTAGGGCATTTAAAAACCGTGTGTATCTAGCGATCTGTTACTAGTAGGAGGTTTTTTCTTAGATTTAAATATTATTGAGCTTACTGTCAACAGTGTCAACTATCGAACTACGCGTTTCCCTTAAATAGTCCTTGTCATACATGACCTCAAAATACTCGAAAAAGGTAAGTACCTAACATAAGTGATGTTTGTGCAGGCCACGACCGTCTGGAGGTGAATGTGGCGCGGTTAGAGGTGCGTGACGCAAGAGGAGCGTTACTACTCGGCGCGGGGCAGGACGCGGTCACCGTGGGCGCAGAGACGTTAACCGTGACCAGCCCCGCCGGGGTCAATCTTCAGAACGCGGTGCAAACTCCGCTCGTACGGGCCCCGCCGGCGAAGCAATTAGTGTGAGTAACAGAAGCGTGACTAAAGCTGTCTAGAGACACCTGTGTGTTTACCTACGTGGGGCAGGACGCGGTCACCGTGGGCGCTGAAACGCTGACCGTGACCAGCCCCGCCGGGGTCAATCTTCAGAACGCGGTGCAGACTCCACTCGTGCGGGCCCCGCCGGCGAAGCAATTAGTGTGAGTAACAGAAGCGTGACTAAAGCTGTCTAGAGACACCTGTGTGTTTACCTACGTGGGGCAGGACGCGGTCACCGTGGGCGCTGAAACGCTGACCGTGACCAGCCCCGCCGGGGTCAATCTCCAGAACGCGATGCAGACTCCACTCGTGCGGGCCCCGCCGGCGAAGCAATTAGTGTGAGTAACAGAAGCGTGACTAAAGCTGTCTATAGACACCTGTGTGTATACCTACGTGGGGCAGGACGCGGTCACCGTGGGCGCTGAAACGCTGACCGTGACCAGCCCCGCCGGGGTCAATCTCCAGAACGCGATGCAGACTCCACTCGTGCGGGCCCCGCCGGCGAAGCAATTAGTGTGAGTAACAGAAGCGTGACTAAAGCTGTCTATAGACACCTGTGTGTATACCTACGTGGGGCAGGACACGGACACTGTGGGCGTCAAGACGCTGACCGTGACCAGCCTCGCCGGGGTCAACTTGCAGAATGCGGTGCAAACGCCACTCGTGCGGGCCCGCCGGCGAAACAATTAGTGTGAGTAACAGAAGCGTGACTAAAGCTGTCTATAGACACCTGTGTGTATACCTACGTGGGGCAGGACACGGACACTGTGGGCGTCAAGACGCTGACCGTGACCAGCCTCGCCGGGGTCAACTTGCAGAATGCGGTGCAAACGCCACTCGTGCGGGCCCGCTGGCGAAACAATTAGTGTGAGTAACAGAAGCGTGACTAAAGCTGTCTATAGACACCTGTGTGTATACCTACGTGGGGCAGGACACGGACACTGTGGGCGTCAAGACGCTGACCGTGACCAGCCTCGCCGGGGTCAACTTGCAGAATGCGGTGCAAACGCCACTCGTGCGGGCCCGCCGGCGAAACAATTAGTGTGAGTAACAGAAGCGTGACTAAAGCTGTCTATAGACACCTGTGTGTATATCTACGTGGGGCAGGACACGGACACTGTGGGCGTCAAGACGCTGACCGTGACCAGCCTCGCCGGGGTCAACTTGCAGAATGCGGTGCAAACGCCACTCGTGCGGGCCCGCCGGCGAAACAATTAGTGTGAGTAACAGAAGCGCGACTAAAGCTGTCTATAGACACCTGTGTGTATATCTACGTGGGGCAGGACACGGACACTGTGGGCGTCAAGACGCTGACCGTGACCAGCCTCGCCGGGGTCAACTTGCAGAATGCGGTGCAAACGCCACTCGTGCGGGCCCGCCGGCGAAACAATTAGTGTGAGTAACAGAAGCGCGACTAAAGCTGTCTATAGACACCTGTGTGTATATCTACGTGGGGCAGGACACGGACACCGTGGGCGTCAAGACGCTGACCGTGACCAGCCTCGCCGGGGTCAACTTGCAGAATGCGGTGCAAACGCCACTCGTGCGGGCCCCGCCGGCGAAGCAATTAGTGTGATTAACAGAAGCGCGACTAAAGCTGTCTAGAGACACCTGTGTGTTTACCTACGTGGGGCAGGACGCGGTCAACGTGGGCGCTGAAACGCTGACCGTGACCAGCCCCGCCGGGGTCAACCTGCAGAACGCGGTGCAGACGCCACTTGTGCGGGAAGCAATTAGTGGGAGAATTATAAATGGTGCGAAAGCGTGATCAAACCATGACAAGCGCCAAACGTTACTGCAATACCGGACGTAAAACAGTATAAGCCGAGGCACTGGCCGGGACTGCAGAACGTGATGCAAACATCTGCAAACTTCACCTGCGAAACAATTACTGTAAGTGATCATGTCACGGCTAAAGGAGCGAGAAGCTACTATGTTGCCGGAACAAGGCGCCAAGGCGCTGACCGTGACCAGTCCCCCGGGGTTACTGCATGCAGAAAGCGGTGCAAACGCTCACCCCGCCTTGGAAACAATTAGCGTAAGTTATTCATAGCATAACAAATGGACGTTTAAAGTTTCCGCAAGTAATCTTTAGAACCTACAATTTGCCACAATTTTAGCAGTCGCGATCGAAATTTATTGGTAAAGGCAATTTTAGTAATAAGAAATTTTAAATAATAAGTTTAATGATACTAATGGAAATAAAAAAGCAACAGGAATTCGAACCCAGTTACATCAAGTAAGTAATTGGTGGAGTTTTAAAAAAAGCTTATTGTATTATATAACTGAAACCCCAATTTACAAGTAGAGGGAAATATAATGTCAAATGAAAATTAATTAGCGACAAATGTATTCTTAAGTATTATTTACATGGATCTCTCCATAGTTCAAATAATAATTATTAGGCTGGGTTGCACTATCTTACTTTAACTTTGACAAACGTCAAAACTCTGTTAAACTCCATATAAAAACACCGAATAAGGAGGATTAAGATAAGATATAGTCACGATTAAAATAAGGTGGTGCAACTCAGCCTTAAAGTTCAGCGTTCCTAGATATTGACGATCTTCGTTTCGACAGGTTAGAGTCGCCGACGCGCTCGCTGGAGATGCACGCGTCGCAGAACATCGCGCTGGAGTCGCGGGCCGGCGACATCAGCGCCAGCTGCCTCACCACCTTCCACCTCAAGTCCGTCGCTGGCGCCGTTAGTATTTGTGCTTTGGATTTATTATAACGCACACCATGAAGGAAGACACGTTCGAAGCTCTATTATGAATTTATCCTTTATTTCTGTATGAAATTCAAATGAATGACTCACCCCACAAGCTAAGCAGCAGGCTTCTTCTTCTCAGTTGGTACACTCTTGTCAGAGTGGTCATGGTCATCATTGTGAATCACGATACAGAGTGATGTTCCTCGTAATACGGCGCCATTCCTCGCGGACTGCAGCTTTCCGGGAACATTCGCTAACCGAACACTTAGTTGCGACCTTGATCTGGCAGCAGGCTTAGCCCTTTGGTTAAAAGATACTTTTCAACTGTTTTACCTTGCTAATCAGTTCAATATTTATTAGGCTCTAAATTGGTTAAGTAACGTTCTCTACAATCGCCAAAATGGCATTTGAAAAATGTTGAACTCATTAGCAAGGTAATACCGTTTAAATACAAGCTCTAGCGTATGCCATTCATTACTTAGGCGTAGTGAATTAAGGCTCTTAATAACTATATTTATCTCTCTCAGATTCGTCTAGACGCACCCAACATATACATGCCCAAGCTAAAGTCAGCGCTGCCTCTGCCACCCTCGACGCCGCACTCCCACGACCCTCACCACCAGAACATCTACCAGTTATGCGCGTGCAGCAACGGTAAGCTGTTCCTAGCGCCCCCACATGGCGCCTGCGCCGCTCGCGAGGAGAGCCTCATCTGCCGATGATGGCTCGCACAAGCAGGAAGGCTAAGACGCACGCCACGATATAATCTTATCGATTCTAGACGATAAGCCCATACATGTGATGTCAAAAATAATCGATATGATTTTATTCGAGACGAGCGTAGCCCGATTTATTACAGAATTATATTAATGTAGGTGCAAGGTACTAGAAACGAGATTTAATGCAATTTTGTGCTATATATTGTAATTTTTGCGGTGTTTTAACGCACAGTTCTGTCTTTAATCTGAAAGAAATGATCAATAAATAAACACTATTTTCAATTCGTGCCATTCAATGATCATTTCTTTGTGATTTAATATAATATCCCTTATACAGAGTGTTAGATGGCTGCTCTAGTACGTACAAAACATACTTAATGTTCTCAATAGTCTATTTTGAAATTTGCTTAAGGTATTTTTATAGTTTCTGCCTTTATCATTCAAATTATCAATTTGAACGCCGCGTGATGGTTCCTTGGTAAATATAGGTAAAGTTTGTTGATTAACTTTGAAAGATTGATTTACTCGCTTTTTGTAAATAAATGTGGATATTATCTTAGCCGATATAACTATAAACAAGCACTGAATTTGACACAGAAAATTAGTTGGTTAACTTGAAGTTATTATGTATTCGAGTATTGACTCTACGAAATTACAACGATTAATAAAACGTATCGATTTACACTAAAATTAACATCAGTGCCTTTTGGAATCACGTTTAGGATAACGATTGGCAAAAACAATGTTGTTGTTAACTAAAGTACTATCATCAAAGCACAGCTTCACACGTCATTATGGAATAAGTAAGTTATTGTTTGTAAATTACCTATTTGACTGGATGTGATACTCACAAAAGTGTTCATGAATAATAATATTCGGCAAAACTGTAGTAAGGAAATACATAAATGGTTTAACATAATTTCAAACGAACGTGTTTAGTTTTTATTGAGCAAAAAAGTTTAAAAACTTTAAGTAAATGTAGATTCTTTGATACTATACCTATATATTTATTATTATTTATACTATGCGAGTCAGATCTATAAGGCAACCGGGTAATCCTATAATACATGTCTTTAGGGATCATACTTTCTAAAACTATCTGCAATTCTGGCTATAATTAGATATTATGTATATGTTATAGTCAAACCTCGAAGTTCCGGCACTCCTAGGTTTGACTAGTCAATCCTCAGGTCTGACTAGAAGTCTTAGTCAAAGCCCAAACATTTCGGCCTTTGACTAAAGAATTTTAGTCAAACCTAGGAGTAACTAATTTGGTCAGGCAAAGGTCGAAACTCAATTTCATGAAATCGGGGTTTGACTAGTCAAACCTCAATTAAGACTTTAAACTAAACTATACTTAATTCTGATCTCGAACTTATTGCATAGGCGTTACGACGGTCGGTTTTGACGCTCTTTAGGTGAAGGTACGAGTAACTAAACTTATACAATACTAAGATAGAGTGTTTCTAGATCGATCTTGATTATTATTACTATTTTTTAGGGTTCTGTTACCTTAAAGGATAAAGAGTTTAGATCCTATTATTATGACTTCGCTAAATGTTTTCTGTCACCAGGCTCGTATCTCATGAATCATTCACTTTAAAAATAAATAATTCAATAAAATATTTAAATATTTAAGGGGGGCTCCCATACAGCAAACGTGACTTGTTGTAGTTTTCTACTTGATATTAAAACGTAAACAGGTGAACCCTTGAAATATTCACATAATATTTAGTTGCATAGCTATTTTAAAAATAAATCATAAAATTAAAATAAAAAAAATATTTAAGGGGGGCTCCCATACAACAACAGAGTCGTACGGCACCCTTCGTGAGCGAATCCGGCTCGTACTAGGCCGGTTTTCTATTTGCCATCTACTTTTGACCGAGTCTGCCAGACGTTTCTAGGATTGACTAGGCAAAGCCCGAAACAAATTATTTTAGTTTCGACGTTTGACTGAACCGTTTAGGCACTTCTAGGTTTGACTTAGTCAAAGGCCGAAATAAGAATTCACTTCGGGGTTTGCCTGAAGGCCTTAGTCAAACCTAGGATAGACCAGTCATTCCGCGAAGAGACTGCATATCGACCTTTGACTATGACATATAGACATACTAGAACTTGTATGTATAGAATTCTTACTGTTAAAATGTTAGGCAAAGAAATGTATATCGGTTATCGTAAATATTTGTTGTTACTGTAAATATATTGTATAGAGAACGTTGTAAGTACATAAATTACTATGCGTATTGAAATACTGTTTTTTATTACATTTTAAAGACACTTTCGTTTATGAAGTTCATATGCTCTACCTAATTCTATTAATTTGTGAATCTCTCTCCAAACGTTATAAATATTTAAAAAAATACAAATACAAATATGGGCGGGGCACATAGCTCGTAGAGACGATGGCCGTTGGGGCAGGAAAGTTCTCGAGTGGCGACCACGGGCTGGAAAACGTAGCGTGGGCAGGCCTCCTACTAGGTGGACCGACGATCTGGTAAAGGTCGCGGGAAGAGCCTGGATGCGGGCAGCGCAGGACCGTTCATTGTGGAAAACCTTGGGGGAGGCCTTTGTCCAGCAGTGGACGTCATTTGGCTGAAACGAACAAATAGGTTAAATAAACAATAATGCAATATACCGAGCAGATTAAAGACGGTAACTATTCGTAACTACGAATAGTCATTTCTCTAGCACAGGTATAAAATATTCGAGAACTTTTTAATTGAATCCAACCGGCAACTGACACAAGTACTTAATTTTGTTATAAACGAACTCGGAATAACTTTGAAACTTTTATCATTTAATTTGGCTCTGAAGTATGTTTCCGCAAACAGAATGAATCATGTAACAATCGCTCATTAAGTAAGTGTACCTTTTTAATATTCCGAATTTATTATTGGAATTGACATTCGTAAGTGAAATTTTAACACCCAGTGTGTTACTTGGCGTGGTTGTTAATTCTACATACTATTTGTCTGATAGATATTTTAGGTACGACAAGTTTGCATGTACTGCGTTCTTGCTTTACCACATGCAATGAAGAATGTTCACTAATTTTGTTTTTTAGCTTTCTGTATTCTCTGTTAAAAATAAAAAATACACGTGAAAGAATTATTTCGATACGTCAATTAGTTTCCAAGATATTAAATTTTAAAAGTGCGGACGGCGGCCGGCCCGCCATTTTATGCGCGTGACGTCATATTACAACGACTGGCTCATATTTGTATGGGTGGAATCTTGCAAACTGAATTAAGACCCACTTCCAGGCAACCGATTAAGCTGAAATTTCGCAAACACATGTGATTTGGATGACCATGCAATATTATGATGACATGGAGCTGATCTGATGATGGAGCTGGAAGGTGGCCATAGGAACTCTATAATAAAACGACTTAAATGCATCGAGTTTGGGCTCGTTCGTTTTGTATTGATGAGTATTTTAATTCTATATAGTAATCGGGGTCTAATGATGGAGCTGGAAGGTAATTCGCAATAAAACGACACAATCGCATCAAGTTTGGGTTTGGTTCAATTTTAATTTCTGTGATGGGTCTGGGTGTTAATATGTATAATAAGTTTGTATTTATAAAAAAAAATATTTATATCCGTTTTCTAGTGAGCGGACGCTGTGAATGTACGTCACGCGGGGTCACGTGACCGTCGGCGGGACTCAATATTTAAGCGAACTTTGAATGCCTATAAAATCATAACTACTAGGTATTTTTGAATGAAATAAAAACTAATGTATTTGTAAATGTAAAAGCTTAACTGTAACATAGGTTTCAAGTGATTTTGCATACATAGTAACATTCTCAATTCAATCTAGTATGATTGCAGTCAAGTATTGGATTATTTAAAAAATAGAAAAGGAGCAAATAGCTGGAAAACAGAGGCAGCGAAAGAGACAATGTTGTGGTATAGTTATTGGAAATAGTTAATAACAAAGTTATTGCAACCGTAACAAGCGCGGGTAAATAAGCAATCGATTAAGAGGAGTTATTGCGGTACTGAGCACCGCGAACAGTCACCGTTGAAGTTTAATTAAAGATTCATGATAAATTGTCGCAGGAAGCTGCATTCTGCGCACGTGAATGCCGCCGTCCCGCGTACACTTAAATAACTTAAGCCAGTAACCTAACAATAAATTCATGAGCCTCCCTCGCCTTTGTTTGGTCCACGTCAGTTTTCACGGCGCTAATTGGCAGGAAGTACAGCTAAAACGATCGCAAATGAGCAGGCGTTTATTATGAAGCGAATATTCATCTGCAAAGATTTGGCGCGTTGAAACATAATGTTAGTACACTGAGATCCTCGTCTTTATGTTACAGAGCTTTGTGCTTAAATAGCATATTGTGAAATTCATTTGGGTAAGTTTCCAATTTCTGATATATTTTACGAAAGAGATAGAGACTAGAGAGAGCTTATTCGTGCTGTAGTAAGTAAAAAAAATCAAAAAATCAAAATCAAAAATATTTATTCAGTTTAGACCACAAGTGGCACTTATGAACAGTAGGTATACCCTTTCAGAAACAAGCCGTATAATATGGTCACCCTACTCACTCGATATAATGTTCTTGCGGTTTGTTCCGGCTTATGAAGGAGCTTTCAATTCCGCATCTCTCAGTTCTCATTTATAATTTACTTAGTACAAAACTAGACCACGTTTTGTTTATTCAATTTCAATTTGTGTACAACTACTGTATTTAGAACATTTTTAAAGGTGCGGAAATATCTTAAAATTATTATTTTTTCTGTAATAAAATTGAAAAGATAATTCAGCAAATCAAATAAAATATAAGGACAACAAAGACACAAAGAGCACGCGACCGAAATGAGGATCTCAAAATGTTTCCTGGGTATTAAATTCATCTAGCCGTAAAATCTTGTCTTCATTTCATTAAATTGCATATTTAGAAATAATATTAACGTCTGCACTGTACCATCTACACCTAATTGAATTCGCGGTCCTTTGTTGCGGTGTAGCGTTGGGACTCTTAAAGCCATTTCAAAGACACCTCCCAGGGTTACCAGTTTGGAAAAAATCTTCTCATGGTAATTCATGTTTGTTAAATCGAATGTCTATTTTAATAATGAAGGATTTCAGTAGAGGAATGGGTACT